AAGTATAAATGTTCCCAACTTAGGCCTTTCTACTCCATACTAATTCTTACAATTGCTATTTATAATACTCTCTTACTCCCTGTCTGATTGGAGTTGCAGATGAGGAGACCCTCCTGTGTGCTTCTACCAAATGTTCATGCATTCCCTGTGCTTAGGCTTTCCAGTCATTCAGGCAATTCTTATTCTGATCTACAATAAATCCAGCTCTGGTTGGCAGGACACTGCAAGCACTCCCTGAGCTTTCCTGCTGCCCATGGGGCTGAACTGAAAGAAACCCCACAATCTGAAGAGAAGAAACAAACGCAAAGCCTTGCTTTTGGGAAGTTAAGAGAGCAGGATCTATTTTGGGAGCGACTCAATGAGAAATTTGTTTATGAGACTCTGGGGAAGAACAGAAGTTATATGCTATAAACCAAAATAGGTCCTTTACTCTATTTCTAAATACTGTGTATTTGAAGCCTCCTTCAGGGTGGAAATACATTCAACCCTTAGAGACAAACCACAGGAAGGAGACTAAAAAGGAAAATAGCAGTGCTCTGCCTACCCTCTGTGAGGCACCTAGTGACATGGGGCAGTGGTTAGGAGACTGACTAAATGGACTCTAGTCAAGGAAAGCAGTGCAAATTGGCAGTGCAAGTACTACCACAGGTTGAAATAGAGACCTGTAGGGCTGAGTCTCAACAGGCAGCCATTGGCATCCCCTGCTCCTAGTGTCCATGGTTCCCAGGGCAGCTGTGGCCAGCCACATTAGGTGCTACAAGAGCCTAATGCAGGGGCAGCTGCATAGCTCCACCTTCTGAAGATCTGGCTATTAGCTCTTTTGGCAGGCGGTCAGTTCAATGATTTACGATGCTAAACACTCACTAGAGAGGATACAGTAAGGTCTTCATGAGGGAACCAGTGGCTGAAAGTTTTATTACGATTTTTAATAGGGCTGGACTTTTAGCTTCTCAATTGCATTTGTGTCTGTCTCTGATATACCACAAAGCAACAAATTGGTAATCCAAAGTATAAATCTACATCAAGTCTACACACATTTACATTTCCTGCTCTGTATCACTAGGATAACAGAGACCCTGGTGCAAACTCCGCATGACCCATCCTCTTATTGTACACCAGGCCATGCCCTCAAAGGAGCTTGGCAACTATTGGCAAAATTAAGTAAAATAGTTTTGACTAAATTTTTTTTTTTAATTCTAATGACTTTTTTTAAAATGACAGGCCTCATTTTGAAAATGCTGAAACACTTTATGATTACATTTTTTAAATTATATTTAGGTCAGAGTTTGTTTTCAAAATGGAAATTTTCATTTAAAATTATCTACACTTGAAAAAAAGGCAAAAAAGTTGTAACATGAGTAAACTTACTCAAGAGCAAAGCAAAGCCTTTCTTGCACGTAGATCTGAATTTTGATCCAAAAACCTTTTTTTTCCCTCACTATATCTGTTTACTATACTCACAATTGCTTGTCTCAGTCACTGTATCAAAAAAATGCTTGCTGCTCCAGCCTGAAGTGATATTCATCCTTCAGCTACTGGCAAGATTGGTTCCCTAATGAAGTCACAGAAGCTTCAGGGAGTGAGGTCACAGCAGCCCCTAGTGAATATATGAGGATGTCATGGCCCAGTGCTCTCATGCTCTCATGTACCCCATCCTCCCTCCTTCCAATCCCTCCATCTCCTGAGGGAAGCTTAACTATGGCTGGGAGATACACTGAATACTGGAGAGATGCAGAACACTGCAATGATCCTGATGGGCTTCTTTATTCACCACACAGCCTCAAAGTCAGTACCAGCATCACTGTCTGCTCCCTTTTCCTGACCATCTTCAGTTGGTCTCTGCCCAAATCACATTTCAAGACCCCACAGAAAAACAATGACACTTCAGTAGGAAGCTGAACAGCATTATTTAAAAAATCTTGTATCCATCTGGCTTTCTTTTGCTCCCTACTCAGTCAGTATGATCCACAGGGCCTTCGCACACAGCCTTAAATAATCTCCTATTGTAACATAGGTTCCCTTCCATTGCTCTAATTATAGCCTATCACTGACTATAGCTCAGGAAAAGCAGGAGCGGGATACCCTCCAAGCCTGCTGGACAGAGCACCGAGACACTGATTACAAAGGAGAGGACTCCTCATAGCCTTTGCTCCAGAAGGACAGAGACATCTGGGTCTTGCAGTCCCCAGGACTAGAAGAGTTTTCAATGCGAGGTCCCTTCTCAGGCCCACCAATCACTCTTCATTACAGGGGTGACGATTTTCTGCAAAATCTGATCCGTTTCTTGTGAAAATCAGAGTTGCAGAGGTTTACCCCAAAATAAATTTCCACTTCATTGTGTTTCGCAGCCCTGCAGACCCAGACACATAAGATAATTAAGCTAGTGAGTTAGCCAAGAGCAGACGGTCTGGAGTCTATTCCTGTTTGTGCACTGGCAGAATTGTCTACTAAGTTCCAGTCGGGTACAACAAGGAAAGCCCAACTCAAAAAATCGGGACAAGCAAGTATAATTTGTCTGCAGTTTTTTGCTGGTAATCTCTTTGTGCAAGGAATTAGCCAGCTTGACCATCAGATTCCAGCTGGGTTTGCAGGACGGGCAGCTGGAAAGGAATATATTTCCCTCCTGGTAAAGGGGATGCATACGGCTTGGGCTCTCTGTGCAGCAATAACAAAGGCACTCCTGGGAGACATTTGCTTGCCTCACTTTTCAAAGCAGAACTGCACTTAAATAGGAGATGCCCAAATTAAGGGCCAGGAAACTGAAAGCAGTCTTGAGACCCTAACTGCAGGCTGCAGCCTCTCTCAGTTGGAATGGCCACAGAAGGTCCCCTGGAAGAAAATGAGCTCCCACACACTTAGGGAACTAGTCCTTACAGACGAGCAAGACAGCAAGTCCGCGGGCATGCCATTCCTTGGCTGTGCTAAAGATGAGGGCAGTGTCTGTCTGCTCCACTCGCTGCACTCTGTGCTTGGCTCCTGGCAAGTTACCAGCTGAAGCCATGGTGGGAAAGCCTGAAATTCTTCCTTTCCATCTATATTTCCCCTTCAGTTTCTCATGCACTCTGGACAGTCACTCCTACAGCCTACCTTCCCCTTCATGCTGAACCACTCAGCACCCCAGCTAAGTGGCAACGGCATCCTGCCAGATGCTGAACCTGAAAGCACCCCCTTCTTGTCCAGTGAACACACAGGGAGGGAGGCAGGATTTATCACTACTCCATCAGCCTCTGCCAGACACTCTTGCCATTAAGATGTCAAAACAGGTTTCTCTCTGGAAATCCAACAGCCTCGCAGACTTACCCTTGCAGGCAGCAGCCCCAGTTGGACATCTGTTCCCTTTCAACATCACACATGCACTTAAAATGCCTGTACTGTCCACTTCTTTGGGGGTTTAGGCTCCTATTAAAGCTGCCTTTAGCATGATTCATTGTTATCTCCTGGTGTTGATCTGATTTATGGATTGGCCTGTGTTAATTAAGGTCATAAAATTGGGAGCAGGAAAAGGTTTCCAGCACTGTGATGCTGTTTAACATTGGATTATTTTCCAGCCCCTGTGATATTTTGCAGGGGATGGGAGATGGCGCAGCTGAAGTTCTGTGATCGGAACTGAAACTTCACTGGGATGAGCACTTGCTCTTCTCTCAGCCTCAGGGGAGGCAAGTCACTGGGAAAGTGAAGCCATCTCCACAAAGCACTGATTCACAGACACCAATGAATTCACAGCCCAAATGGTTATTATTGGCTCTGTGTCTACAGCCTCATCTGAGGTTGGAGCTCCATTAAGCTGGGCACTCTATAAGTATCTTGTAAAAACTATCCCTGCCTCATGGAGTTTACAGTCTAAGTTTGGAGTTTGAGTTTTTTTGTTAAAAAAATCATCAGAGCCCAGGTATTTCTGTCAAAATAAAAATTACAAATGAGATTCATATCTGATACTGTAGCATAGACCTCGGGGAGGTACATTTGACCTCATGTGTTACCTATTAAAAAGGCAGATAAATACACACAAAACCCGTGCTACATATTTCTATTTGTAATCTGCTACGCTTTGTTACACTAATTTGTTACAATTAGGTTTAAAACCCAGCTTGTGCTCTTCAGTAGTGCAAGTTTACTTTTGGCATGTGAAGCTGCTGTCATCCTCAGAAAGGGTGATTTCTTTCTCTATTTCACTTTCCTCTTTCTAGCCAATTTCATCACAAAGTTCTCATGACCTGGCTCAGAAATTTGCTCATTGTGGCCACATCAGCCACCTGGGACTTCATAAGCATACTCATATTACACTTTTGTTTTAACCTAAAACTTAGTCACTGTAGACTCCACAGGCAGTCACAGCAAAAATGTGTGCTTGATGAAAGTATCTTGCAATCATATGTATTTCCAGTGAAAGAAAAAAATATTTTATGTCCCAAGATAAAAATGAAAAGAAAGTGCTACGTATTTCCATTTGTAAATTGTGAAAATTCAAATTTAAAAATGCAATTGCAGCATGTAAATGAACTCAGTTGTTCAGAGATCTCTGAATAGGTTAAGAGTCACATGAAGTTTTTATTTAAAGAGTGCATATCTTTCAAAAAAATGTTACAAGTTATAGACTGGTTGAAGGAATTTCTGAGTGAGTTTCTGTGACCTTTGTTACGCATGAGGTCAGGTCGATTATCATAATGGTCCCTTCTGGCCATGAGCTACGAATCTGTTAATTTTAGCTCAATATCCTCTTTCTCTGAGGACTAAGCTAACTGAAATGATATCACATTTTCCATTTTAGGACTAAAGGCATATATACACAGTCACCACAATTGAGCTGATGTGCACTGCTGTACTATCATACACTAAGTTCTGTGTATATCTGAACTTCTACTTAGCTATTGGTTAAGTCATATTCTCCTCATTGAATCATCAATTAGAACTAACATCCCAGATGATGAAAATCAGGCTGAGACATCCTTTCCTCCCCATCCTCCAAAAATTAGGACATTTAAAAATAATTAAATATTTACCTTCCTTCTGGCATGAATGTTTAAGTTCCTGTTTCAGAGTTCCTCTTCCGTTCTGTAGGGCTTATTTACGCTTCCTAAGAGGAGCTAAAATTCTCTCAGTCACTTGATTTCCATAGGCGGTGCTTTAAAAAGGAGGAAACAGATACTGCGAGGCTTAGCAGTGCTGCAAAAAGCATTACAATTGTAGGTTATCAGAAGATAGACTGAACAATTTTGCAATTAAAGTACACCAATATATTTCATGGCAGCAAGGCTTCTCTGCAGCCAAGTAAAAGCCACAAACTTCATTTCCAGACCCCAGTGTTGGTACGATACAATGTTAAAAAAGGTCCCTTTTCAACACAGATAATCCACCCGCAGTTAACTGAGAGCTGACTATTCCGTTTCAGGCTTGCTAAACTGAAATCAAAGCATTTTGTCTTGGCCAACTGAACAGAAGTATTCTGTTCCAAGTCAGTTTAATATTCCTTTGCCTTTGGCTCTGGTGTCTCCCCACTGTTGCACAAAGCAGGGTGCAGCACACCTGAACACTTTGCAGACCGCATCCCTCATCCATTTTGAGATTTTCGGCTCCCCATTTTTCCTAACAGTTCTTTTTTTATGGGAAACAAGGTAGTTATTTGGTCTCTTTCTCACAGCTTGGAATGAAAACTAATATTGATATATGAGGATTTTACTTGAGACAAAATATCCTACTTTTGCACAGCCTCTATTTAAGATGTTGAACTTGGATAGGAAAAAGATTTGGTCAAAGCAGAGCGGAGGTAGCCAGGAAAATTTACATGATGTTTAGTTGTGATCAGTTCCCTAGTGCACTCCTCCCCAGCGTGTGCAAAGAGCTGTGCTGGTACAAAGGAAAGGGCAAAGGAAGACATGCTGGGGGCAGAAAAGAGTGGCGTGAAGCCAGGACAACTTAATCAAGCACTCGTGAAACTCAGCATCAGAGAAGGAAGGTCAAATGGGATTTATAATAGAAATACAGACAGAACATGATGATGCAGAGACAATCTGCTCTCCATAATATTCTTCTTATCCTAAGCAAACAGAAGACAAGAATGACATGTACCATGGGACTGTTCTGTTGTATCTTTGTAAGGATCACATCTTAATTCACTTTCAGCAGTGGCTTTAGGTTAATAGCTAAGTTAAGTTCATAGCCACATTCTCATGTGAAATCTATATCTTAGCAATTTGAATCAAATTTGCTCCAGGTCAGACACCTGTAAAGTTGAACTACAATGGCAAAGAATGGCAGTTCTGCATTAATAGGCAAGAGAGTCACGGTTTTCCTGTTGCACCTTTAGGAGGCAGAAAGGAAGACTTGCTTGCAATTACAAACGCTCATATCTTTATGCAATTTCTCATGAACCTCCCTCCCTTACCCTTCTCCATACACAGTTGTAGAGAGGCAGCTGAGGGAGACAGACTCCGGGGTGAATTGGGCATAAAACATATTCATGCTAAATCTATCTACAAACAAACACTTTTGTAGATTTAATGAGCTTTTAAGGACTTAAGCACTAGGTTCTTTGCCTTTCCCAGACTTTGGTCTCCAAGATTTGTCTAATTAGATTCCTGTGGCTTAGTCACTGAAAGCTACAATGGGACAGGGATTTGGGAGTAGGAAGGAAGAGTCCGGTCATCTGTAGTTTACGCTAATATAGAACTACTGAAAGTGTCAACACTCAGCAAGAAGCTGCCTTTACCTCCAAAAACCACAGGCTGTGCCTTGACCTAGCAGTCCACAACGCAAAACGTGTTGTGGGCTCTTAAATACCCTCATCCCAATCAATCCTGAGAGGATGCTCTCATATGTACTCACAGCCCCTAGAACATGTTTTGCCAGATGAGGTCAGGCATGCACAAGGTAACCTTAGCGAGGTCCCCTTATACCCTGTGGTGGGAGCTGGGAGAACTTGATCACAAGTCACAGCAGGTGAGTTGCGGTAGCTGCCTGGGTCACCCTTCCCAACCTCTCCACCCCCTCATGCTCGCAGAGGTTGCTGCCCCTGCAGCAGAGGTGGCTTAACTATACATGAAACTGTTCCTAAACTACTACAGTTTACAGTATTAAAGGCTCTTCCAGATATGCTGGAAACACGCTCCAAGAAAGCAATGAGACAAACAGCCAAGGACAGTGATTTCACCAGCTGTCCTAGCTGAATCCACGGGTGACTATGACTCAACACTCTCTAGCTGCTCAGCTCAGAGCCCAGGGGTCTCCTGGCACCTAGCTCAGCAGTGCCTGAGTGGGAAGAAGAGCAAGCACTAGCAGATCAGGTCTAAAAAGAGTGGCTCAGTAGAGTGCCAGGGACACACTCCTGTTCTGCGTTTTCCAGCAAACAACTAATGCTCTGTAGGAAGCAGCTGCAGAGGAGTGAGACATTGATGCTCTGTATGTCTCTGCCACAGTTTGGATGGTATCTTCTCTTGTAACCAACTGCTAGGATTCGCTGAGCAATTCTGCTGTGATTTACATCAGAGCTACCAATTTTCTGCAAATGTTGAAGAATTTATAGATCCTAAGGCTTAAAACATCCATCAGCCTTAATGCAAACAAAATTGCTGTATATTACATAAGCTGAAGTCCTGTTATTTTCCCCATGTTAAGTGCCTCTTAACTGAAATCCTTGATTGTTTTTTGCAAGGCCCCTCTCCCATCACTCATAGCTGTGTGTGTAATAACGTATTGTTAACATGCAACGATGTGTGGTAGGGATTGCCCACGATTATTTTACCAGTTCTTCTGTGGTCTGGTCTTCTTACTGAGGCAAAAAGGTCTCGCCAGATTTAATTAAATGAGAAGAAATTTTTCCAGGGGCCTTCACAAATTACAAATCACATACATAGCATTCAATTTCGCACCCCATAATCACATTAGTAATGCAACTGAAATAAACAGAACTCCTTGGGTGAGTAAGAGCTACTCATAGCAAAAAGTATTTCAGATTTGGTTACAGCCTAGGTTGGACTCACTCCAAAGTGAAAGTTTCATATACCCTAGTCCTGTTCATGATTTTGGGGGCAAAGTTCAAAGGGCAAAGTTCATCCTTTCAAAAAGTGATGCCAATTTCATATGAGATGAGTGTGGACTTTCTACTTAAAGATACATTGAGTGGTTCTAACAACCTAATTCCACTGATGCTACGGTTGGAGTCCTAAAATGAAGGACTCTTTTGGCAGCTGACATTACAAATGAAATAAAATCAATGCAGCCTTGTAAGGAAGCATCTTTTAAGCCACATTGGCTTGGATGCATGCATATGTCCCTGAGAAGCAATCAGAGATAATATATGCTGAACAGAAGAGGACGGAGCAGGCTCTGGCACCAAATACTATTTAACATAGTTCAGGTCCATGGAAATACTTGCCTGGGATGTTCAAAGATGTAAAGAGAACTGAACATCTTGTTTCCAGTGGAACTTTTAGACAGTGGAGTGCCCTAGGGCTGTAGGTACAAAGCTTCAAGCAACAGCTGTATCTTCTGCATGCGGTACACAGCCCGTGGCATGCTGTGGGCTTGCACAGAGGGGGTCATTCATACCACCGGAAGATATTCCAATGCATTTCAGTTGGTAATTTAGGCATTCATCTGGGGCTTTGCTGACCCACTGAGCTCCTGTCTCCTGGGCTTTGGTAGGCAGCCCAGCAGCTCCAGTAGTTCTCCTGTGCCACACCATTGCATAAGGAGAAGCACTACAGATGTGGGCAATACAGTCCAGGATGATGTTATCTTACTGCAAGCCCCCGTGGACAAACCTCCTATCCCCTGAAGATCTTAATTCGAACAGGCCTGGGACTGGACTCTTGTTTATGGTTCTTTCCCATCCCAGTCCTGGCCCAGTGACCTTCTGACAAGATGTACTGGCAGACACAATTATCAATAGCTGGTAGGACAGGTTGGAAAAGAGCACTTTGTTGTGTTTTTTTGTATTTTGTGGGGAGGGATTGGAGTTAGGTGACAAGGTAATTCAGAGCAGTATTAAACCTGAATGGAGCATAGAATTAAACTATAAATCCATTAAAGTGAGATTTCCCTGAGAAGATAAAGGAATTAAGTACCAAAGTCACACAAGCAATGGCTCCTTTGGGAGTTAGCGCCCCTAGCTCCCTTGAGATTCTTCTGTTCATAGACAATGCTAAAATATCTACAGCCATTGTGGCCAATATCAGTGACTGAATAGATCTCCAGAACCCAAACCACAAGGTTTCAGACTGACTTGAGCCACAGAGCTAGTCTGCACAATGAATGCTTGCATCACATACATCCACATAGGGTCAGAGCTGAAGAGCCCCGAAGGTCATGAGATACTCCCCACCCTACACGGACGCTTGTCGTTTGGTCTTAATTTCTGTTCTCTTGGGCTAGATCCATTTGCTCTCTGAGGGAGGAACCTAGCGCTGGCTCACTCTGAAGCTGGAACTAGGCTCCCCCAGAGTGGTCTTCCTTGGAGCATGAACTGCAAGGACACTAGAATTTTGTCACTCCTTGGTGCTTTGCCATCCTGACATCTTATGGAGGGTGCCCAAGCTTTCAGAAGAAAGGACTTTCCCCACTGAAGACGTAGCTAGAATGGCCAGGTGCAGCTTCCAAAAAATCTAGCACAAGGAATGTCCTTCTCCCACCCCCCCAAAGCCCTTCATACTAGAGCTACCTCCAGCAGAGCAAATCAACCAGCTAACAATAAGTAAAAGTTCACTTCCTATGAAGGCTCTTTTAAAACCCTTTGGGACTGCAGTACAGATCAGAACAATATAAGTCTTCTGGATTGCAAGCGCAGGAAACAATGAAACAATGTTCAATTTTTTATTATTATTTTAATAAAATGAATTCCATATTGTACTGCAGTATTTTTATAAGACTGTGCTCTTCAGCCACTTATGGCCCTTAGCACACCCTCTTCACCTTCCCTGGGGGCATCTGACATTTTTAACATCAGCAAATTTGAACGTGATTTATTCAGTTTCTTAAATATAGCACTTACCTAGTTATAAAATACTGCCCCAATTCTTTTATATACAATAACCATTGTGCTTATGATGACTTAAGCCATGCATATTATTTTTTAAAAGAATTATATTTACATGGAATGTTTAAGAAAAGAATTTCCCAGATTCCGGAAGTAGAGCTTCCTTTAGAACAGGAAGGAAATCACTAATTTT